AGAAATTTATATTTAATCGTGTGTAGATTGTGTTGAATTAGTGGTGTAACTAGAAATCGCCATTGTGCGTTCTGTTTTATCGGTGTATAGTGTAGAGGGGGTGTAGGGGGAGTAAGTAGAGGGAGGAGGAGCTTAGAAAAGTACAACATATCCTATTAAATTTATCACCTTCTCTTTCTATCTTGTAGTAACACCGGTGACCCCCAGCGATTCCGTATCCGTACATTTATCACAATCAGTTCTCTTGATTGGTTGGCCATTTTGCACGTGGGTGTATCGAAGAGAAACGGGTATATCGTGCGATCTTTGTCGAGATAAAGAATATCGCATAGAAAGTACACGCCTTCCGCTTTTGCATGTAATTAATGCCTTTCTACGTGTAAGGAAGAATTTCAAATGTTGTTTTCCCCCTTTACTTAAACCCCCCACTTCACCTGAATTTCATCTCGAGATGAAAAGTCTTTAAAACGTTTTCCTTTTTTTTTTTTTATTCTAAAACATTTATGATACCTTTACTGAGAGTGCAATTGCGAAATAAACGTTCACTCGACAATCCTACCACCGTTTAATACTTTCAATACCATTTGCTTTTTCTAACAACCATCCTATTTATTTTCACATGCTGTATCACGTATCTGTCTGCAATTGCATTATATGCGTATATATGCATAACATATATGTACCGTAGTTTGAACAAAATATTGATGTCTTCGTTGCAATAAGAAAAAAAATTAATATTTATATATATATATAATAATAATAAAATAAATATATAATAAAAATATATAATATTATATATTTAATTAATATTATATTATATTATAATATATCAATATTAACTATATAATAATATTATAATAATAATATATATCATATTTTATATTTTTATTATAATAAAAAAATAAATATATAAAAATATTCCCAAATAAATATTTTTTTATTTAATTATTTTCTAATATGAAATAACAGTTCAATATATCTTAAGTTCCAAATTTAATTTTTATATATAGATTTTTTATTTTAAAATATTTAAATAAATCAAATAATAAATTTAGTTACACAATACCATCTGTTAAAATACAAAGTATATACAAATGTGCATATATATATATGAATCTGTAATATCAGTTCATTCAACTCTGCGTAAGCTCGCGACCAAAAATAATTCCACATTCGTGCTTGCAGCAATCTTTATGTTTGAACACTCCTAAGTAATTGACAAAAAATTTCTATTATCAATTAATCGAATCGTATTTTCTTTTCAATGATAATGATCTTATTTACGAATATGATTGAAAAATAAGAGTAAAGAATACACAAACATGAAGAAAAAGAGAAAACAGGAACATGTAAGAATAATTTAAAGATGATAAAATCACAGTAACGGTGTTTCGTATATATTTTAACATAAGTGATATACCATGTGACTGATTTCAACTTGTGAGTCACCATAACGTTGAAAGATTCGATACGGTTATTCGGTGTGAAAGATACTTTACGATAGCATACATACGTCGAACATTAAATTCCTGACAGCCCCTACCGTAGACTCTTCTTCTTCTTCTTATCTTATTTTTTCTTTTTTTGTTTTGTTTATAATATCGTCGTTCTTTTTCGTCTGCGAGTTCTTAAGTGCCAACAAAAACGACGTCTTCTTAACGCGAAGAACAAACATCGTGGTTTTGTAGCAAAGGTTGTTCCATCGATGCAACCCCGATGAATCGAACTTTTGAAAGTGTCGATTGACGAGCGTGCGTGCATGCGTGCGTGCATGCGTGCGTGCATGCATGCATGGTTTGAGGGAGACGTTTAAAAACTCCCGCGCACACGTATCTTTGAAAGCGAATGGTTCGCTAGCTAACTGGTGGTTTACAAGGAAGAGCATTAAACTACTACCGAGTTTAACATTTATGACGTTACTTCGATCGTATCTCGTGCAACAAGTATCGACAAAAAAAAATACTTGGATGCCCTGCTGTATTTCTTATGTATGTGTGTATGTGTGTGCAAACTTATTTATATTTATTGCAACGCCTACTATCGAACTTTTATCATCAACAAATACTACCCTGATCGATTTGTTACGATTATTTTTAACTTTAATCCTTTGGGTGGTGAATATTTTTACCTAAAATATTTTGTAGAAAACGAATTGTTTATTATTAATAAATTACTTTACTTTTTTTTTATATTTGTTTTTCTATATTTTAACGTACCATTAAACCATCCATTGGTTTAAAATTTCAAGCTCGAAAATGGGATTAATGTAAGTGACGATTTAAAAATGTACTTTCGTTCAAATTAAACCCTTAAGTTATCAATTATTTTATTCTTTACACTCGTTTCTAATGGATTCATTCTTAAACACATCATTTATTGATATTTTATCATCTAACTTTCTTTCAATTGTCAACAATGTATTTAACGATTGTAAAAGTACGAGTTATCTTTTCAAGTCTTCGATATCACATCAATGTTTGATTTATAAAATCGATTAGATAATTGTAATGTATCAATGAATTTTATCGTAGATATCAAGGACTGGTTAGTTTGATAATGACATTTTTTTTGTGTTCATAAAACACATTTGATTTTCACAGATTTTGGTTATCATAGATGGTATAGTTTAATGTTGATATTGCTACAAATATTAAGTTGTTAAGTCATATAGACATTCTTAAGATTATTAGACAAGTTAAAATGAAATAAAATCTAAGTGTTCGTAATTGTCTGATAATTCAATGACACGAAGTATTAGTTTGCTACCAAGAATTGCTTACCTATTATTGATAAAATGATATAAGGATAAAGATTCTTATCAATGAATCGAATTAAACTATCGGTGACTACATATAGTGGCCCATTAAAAAAGAAATTTTTAGATAAATTAAAAATTTGCATAAAACCATACACATATTTAATGTCAAATTATTTTGAATTTAATAAAGATTGAAATTTGTCTAATAAATTTATATTAAAAATGAAAGAATTAATAAAAAAAAAAAAAAAACAAATACTTTATTAGAATATTTCATTTCAGGTAAAAGAAGTATTCAAAAGACACATTTTTTACACACACACACATACATACATGATTTATAAATAATTTCTTGAATTTTTAGCAAACGTATTGAAATGACTTTTTATCAGTAAAATTATTTCTACAAATATAAACGATACGAATTAATTCATCGAGAATTGTGTTATTAATTTAATTAATTAATTGATTATAAAAAAAAGGAAAGTCAGGAAATAGGATGTATTAAATAGTTGAAAGCGAGAGTTATAGTTCATCGTACGAAGTTGGTTCTTCGTCACGCGTTGAAATCTCCCGTTGGATCGTTCTCTTACTTTCGATTTTACACGCGTTCCAATCTTTTGCGATGATTAGCACCGATCATTGCCGATTCATTTTCTCGGGGCCATGATCTCTGTTAATCTCGTAATCATCGATCCGATCGTGACCAACAGATATATCGATCTTTGAAAAAGTAGTAACATTTATTTCCTCGTGTTTTTAAACCATCTTGGTAATAATTTTCATACTACTGTTACTTTAATTGTATCTATGGAAGTTTCAATAATAAATAATAATAGATTTTCAAACAAAAATGTTTTATAATAATTTAAATAATAATAATAATAATAGATTTTTAAATAAAATGTATATAATGTATCATGAAGATTTAAATAATAATAATATTAATACATTATGAAACAAAAATGTTTTATAAATAATTTAAATAATTTGATTGAGTTTTTTTTTTGTGCCAAAAATTTTTAGATCTTCCTCAAGACTGTGCAACGAGTCTCTTATTATTAAAAATACGATTTAAATATCAATTTATTTATGTTTAGTGGTATACCAGAACGAAGATGTTTTGGTTATCAGAGATGTATAGTCTAACGCTGATACTGTTACAAATATTAAGTTAAATCATATAGACAGTCTTAAGATTACCAGACAGATTCAGATGGAATTAAATCCTAAGCTGTTCATAATAGTCTGATAATTCAATGACACGAAGTATCAGGTTACTACCAAGAATCGTTTATTAATTTATCTCAAAAAATAATTGCTTACCTATCATTGATTAAACGATTCTTATCGATGAATCGAATTACACTTTCGGTGAATTATACAATGGACAATTAACAAAAAAAAAAAAAAAAAAAGGAAAAAGAAAATGTTAGATAAATTCAATTTGCATCACGATTAGATTAAAACCATTACACGTTTAATGTCAAATTGTTTTGCATTTAGAAATGATTGAAACTGTCTAATAATTTTTTTTTTTATTAAAAATGATGAATGTATAAAAAACAAAATACTTCATTAGAATATTTCATTTAAGATAAAAAGAAATTATACAAATGACTTCAACTAAAAGATAATAAATGAGAATTATATTCTGTAAATTTGGTATGACTTACAACTTGGCTTCTTCCCTGATCTTAGCTAATAAATTTTCTCTACAATGCATTTTACTTGATCTACGATACTTTCTCTTACTAGATGGATAGAGTTCTTCGATTGAAATTTAGCTTGGGGCCAATTGATGATCGTTTCTCAATACGATCGGGGTACATAAGTAAGAGATATATATGTACATCGGTATAAGGTTCTTTCTCTTAGCGATTTATCTCTTTCGCATAATGAAGCCTTCTACTATGGTAGCTCTATACGATTACCGTTTAATCGGTATGCTGCTCTACATCGGTATATTATTAATTTACTTTAATAACGCGTTATACGAATGAATTATGCGGTAAATTAATAATCACGTTACCTGAGATGATCGAGTTACCTTTCTCGCGTACTTTTATTAATTCAATACAATTTGAATGTTCAATACGGGAAGCGAAATATCGTTTTCTTTTCTTTTCTTATACGTCAATCGAAAAAAAGAATTATAATATCAAGCATTAAATAATAATAATAATGGATTGTAAGATAAAAAAAGGGATGAATTCAAATTAAAATAATGCAATGTACTTACGTAAAAGGATAGTTCAACTCGATGAGAACGCTTAGGCACACAGGTGAGTGCTTCCGATCTGCAACATCCGGTATCGTCCGAGCACCTGTGCAAGATGGCGCAGTGTGGAATGTAGGTGGTCGATGGACTCGGGTAGACATCGCGAACCGGAATAACTCTTGGACGTGGCCACTGACAGTTACCTTCTTTAGATACTTTAATAGCGTATTGTAGAGCATCTTTGATTTGTGCAGCTGAAAATGAAAATCACAAAATAATCAACCTCTTAATTATTTCTATAAAAGGTTCAATACAATGATTATTATTATTTTTTAATGTAGAAATAAGATAAATGTGTATGAGATTAGAATCAAATCGTCAGATAACTTGTCAGTGTCGAGTACTTAGTAGAAGTCGTTTGTTTAGAAACTACATGTTCATCGTCAAAGGGGAGTGTGGAGAGGGGTGAAAGGAGAAAAGGGAGAGTCAGTTTATCATTCATCAAACTCATCGACTATTTTTGTCTTGCAATATTCGCAAGATCGAACGATATCGGTCACGAATGCTTTCTATTGATTCAAGGGAAAGATAAAATGCTTTTCCTTAATCGCTTTCTACGCATTCCACATACTGTTGATAATTATTTCTACGTAAGGAGTTAGTTATATCTTGTTATTGAAAGCTTTGGAAAAAATGTTCTCATAAATCAAGAAAACGTCCATCATGTATGTGTGTGTACTACAATAAGCTTTGAAGAGGGATGGAGGGAATTATGTATAGTTCGAGTTTGCACGGATAGTTTCTTTTCTGAGTTAGAAGATAAGATCAAAGGGCTTTGTGTTTACTTTGTTATTAGCCAGGGATGCAAAACTTGAATGATTCAATGGTACTTATATATGTATTTATTAACAACACATATGAAACACATTGTATATACGTGATGGAACGTCGGTAGAACGTTTACAGGATGAATTAATTTAACGCGACAAAAGGGCAACGATTACATCAAACTCTCGTTCCCAGAGATGAAGTAATCATGAGTCATGTTACTTCGTGCCTAGTTAAAAAAAAAAAAAAAGAAAAAAATCCCTTAAGAGATTTCTTCTCAACATCCTTAAACTTTAACACGGGTAATTACACGTAAATAGCTAACGGATAATATGAACATTGGATAGGTTGTAACATAAAATCCAAATATTCTCGTATTTTATATATATATATATATATATGTTTGAAAGTTATTTATTAAACAAAAAAAAAATAATACTCAACTAAACGTCTTTATTAGTAATATCGAAGTTAACTCGCACAACATTGCAGATATTCACGATTAGGGTTAATCGGGCCAAGTTCGCGAGTATAGTTCAAAGAAGAAGATAAAGACGAAATAAATGTGCAGTTTTATGAATATTGGAGGAATTACGAGAGGGCAAAATAATCACACATCGTTTCTAATCGAAAATTATTATTACGAGAGAGTGTTCTCTTATTCGTCTATTTTACTCGTCGCGTTCCACGCATAACTCTTTTACGTTCGCACACGGTATGGCATTAAATCGTCGTTTGTCAGTCGGCATTACACTCGTGGATTAGTTTATTGGCCGTAACGTAATGTTAGAGAGAAAAAGAGAAAACGGAAGATGATGATATTTCTCATAGAACGAAGTCAAATCAAATCGAACTTGTTTCTTGAATATTTTACGAGTCTCATGAGTTTCTCCTTTCTCGAGTGGGGAAAAAGCTCAAGAATTAATCGTTTTTTTTTGTTTTATTTTTATTTTTTTTTATTTAGGAAAACATAAAGCATAAGTACACGCTACGAACCGTGTCGAAATATAGTTATATATATATATCTTGTTTTAATGTGTAGAAAAATTGCAATATCTTTCGTGACTGACATGAGTAGTATAATAATCCAATGAAAATTATCTACAATCGATTTTACGAATAATTACACCGTTTATTATATGCACGAAAGGGGAAAATTATGTTTCGTATAATACAAATGAAACACGATATTAAGTAATATTAGCTAATGTTCTTCACCTTTTGAAATAATAAAATAATTTAGTTCACTAATTTTTTGAGTTGGTTTTTCTTTTAAAAAAAAAAAAAAACAGACATAAGCGAAAGTGAAAAATATTTTTTGACAGGAGGTACGAAACACATGATTCTCATATGAGTTTTGGAAATGATTCTACTCTTTGATATATATGTATATGTATATACGTATTTCTCAAGTCGTTTAATCTTCACCGCCGATCTCCGGTTATGCTAATTTCGAGCGTAGGCGTTGCTTCCACTCGGCATGGCTCGCACTGACACCGAGATTCTATCTAAGCGCGTTCACAATAGAGGCACGACCGTCAGGAATTCTGAAGAATCGTTTTCTCTCTCTTTCTCTCTTTCTCTTTCGTTTCGTACATCTCGTATTCAAACGTATTCCTGAATTTATTATACCAAGTGAAAAGAGTTTAGAGATTCGATCACACCTGTTATTTTTTTTTTTTCCCAATTGGTCGTGTGTCTTCTTCTATTATATTTTTTTTTGTCTTCACTTTGTCCAAAAGTTGCCAACTACCTGTCAATATTTGTGATCTAGATTGAAATATCAAATTTAAAAAAAAAAAAAAAAAAGAAAAATATCAGAATATTATCTTAGTAAACTTTTTAATTTGACTTGATTTTTATATTTAATTATAATTTTATATTTTTATATTTAATTTTGATTAATTTGATTTGATTTTATTTTATTTTTTTTTTTTTTTTATAATGAAATTACCCAATGACGGAAGTAAAACGTAAAATCGCGTGAATAGTAATCGTGATTGGTAATGCAAATAAAAACGAATGGTATTCTTGTTTTTTTTTTTTGTATCTAACAAATCTCGACATATCTTTTCTATCGAAGAAATAAAAAGTTTTGTTTAAACGTTCGATGCTACGTAAACGAAGGTTGAATCCTGTCGCGCACGTGCGGCCTAACTTTCGTCGTCGTTGTTGGTTTGTAAACGTTGCAAGGTATGCAGGTAGGTATAACACCTTTCGTGTCAGGGGATAAACACGGTTGAGAAAGGAAAGTGAAAAAAGGTGTTTGAGAATTTGCTGCAACTGTGTGCAATCAATTTTACATCTTAACGTTTGAATCTCTTTGTTTTTTATTTATTTTCTTTCTATTGAAAATATTACGTTTTATTAGAAATTTCTATGAAAAAATTATTTTACGAAATGAAATAAAAAAAAAAATGTATTGTTTTGTTGATTTTTCATTTAAATTTAAATCGTATAAATTTCAATTTAAATTATACTAGAAAACATTGTTGTACAGTGACAACAATCTTGAAGATAAGTTAGCAAGCATGTTTTTGAAATCATTTGAGATTCACGAAGATATCTTGATCGATCATGTAATCACATTGAGCATGGGTACAGCATCCCTGAATAAATAGAGGCGTTCGCGAGAACACGCTTGTCAAGTTTTCGAGCTTTTCTGAATACATGCGTGTGTCGACATTTTAATAAATGAGAGATGAGGATCTAACAAAACAGGCTTTCGTATAGGTAGCTATGTACTTTATATCTCTTCTTCTTGTTTCTTTTTTTTTCATTCTTCCTTGTAGAATATTGTAATGTTTAATAATGTAATCATTGTCACAAAGTTCTGTCTGTTGATTGATATTTTTTTTTTTTTATAGAATATTGCTCGAAGAAATTTATTATTATTTTTTTTAATATTCAATGCTAATGTACTCTTTAGATTTTTGTTTTTTATTTAAAATGATAATAATTATATTTTATTTTATAATTATATTATAATAAAATATAATTATATTTAAGATAATATTAATAATAAAAGATGATATTAATAATGATATTAATAATTACTTATGTACTGTCTAAACAACGTAAAAAAAAAAAAAAAATAAATAAAATGAAACGTTTGATCGAAAAGGGCCACCTACGTTGTCCTTTGAATATCGATTAACAACGAACCTTCGAGTAGGGTCTTAAAGTTAATTGGGGAAGATGCTGTGTTACTGTAATCTACATAAATCGATTACGGAACGCCTCGAACGTGATTGCGCTATCGTATCACGTTTTCCGTACTCTCTCACTCTCTCTCTTTCTTTCTTTATCTCTTTTTTTCATTACATGATAATAATTAAATGAATGTTTCTCATTAAAACTAGTTCATATTTTAGGAATTTTTCTATTTTTGATGATACAAGATGACATTGCATTTTTTCAATTTATGTTATTTTATTTAATTGAAAAGATTCTCATTTTTTAAATTGAATTGATGAATTGAAATAAATCATTGAATATCAAAGATATGATGCTAATTTTAAGTTGAGAAATAGATGGATGATTTTAATTTAAGATCGCATAACTTTGATAATATTTAAATCCAATTCAGCAATACTTTTGTACGTTTGAAAAGATGATATATTTGTTCATTCAATCATAAGCTAATTGCAGCTTGAAAATGCAATGAAATTAATGCAATATAAAATTCGTGTTGTACATTATTGTTCGCGTGTTTTCAATCTGTTCAAATTTTCATGTTAAAGATATATTTCGTTCTGGTCGACCAATCATTGGAAAGGCTGATAAAATTATAGACTACGATGACAGGATTATGATTTTAATTACAAAAAAAAAATTAGTAAAAGGTAGCCAATTGAAACTGTACATAATTCAATTTGATAAAAATTCATTTAAAATATGAAGTAGAATTTACTTTGACTTTTATATGAAAATACGAATAAAATTTTTGTGTTCAGACTGAACAGTTGATATTATTATAGAAGAAAAAAAAATAAAAAAAGTAATATAGACGTACTCTTGCCGTTTTTGTTATATTGCTGCATGTTGCTTCTGGTCTCTTTAACGCCTTCTCGAGTACCCAGAGACTGCCACTTGTGGACACTGTGAGCTGACATAGGCGGGTAGTCGTTTTTCGCTTGGTAGCCGTTGTACTGAGTGCCGGTACTACTGTCGTAAGCTCTTGAATCACTATAGTCAAAGTGCTGAGTAAGCGTGGGTTTAGGTGTGGTCGTTGTTGTGGTAGTACTGCTAGTAGTAGTTGTACTCGTAGTGGTAGTAGTCGTTGTACTCATTGTACTCTCGTGGTTATCCCCTGTTTCGTCGTCGTTGTAATCCTAAAAAGAGAAAATAGATATTTTGATTAAAGAAAGTGACAATTTATGATATTTTCTAAATAATATGAAAAATAATACAATACATTTTTCTTCAATAAAATTATTTTGTAGTTGGTTGTTTCAAATAAAAAGGGTGGTAAGTGGGAAACTGATGATTTTGTATGAAACTTTCTAACAGTTCATTGAATTGTAAATTTCAAGTATTACTGATACCTATTGTAATTAGTTCAAAAGAGAGAAAGAGATAGAGGATCATTCAATTATTTGTTTAATTTCTAAAGTAATTGCAGTACTTTCCTTTTTTTATATTCTTTTTGAATTTTGTTTGTTTGTTCGTTTGTACATGCAAAATATCGTTGAGTTTTCTTCTTCTTTTTATTTAAAGCTCGTTAAATAAATCTTTTCTCGATCACGGGTGGCCAGATTCCTTCCGAAGCTCGGTTTATTGCCAGAAGAAAGATTTTCTACCAAAGATAAGGCTAATAAGCCAATTTGCATCTCGCTCGCACGGTGTACCTTGCGATCGTGCATCTACTATGAAAGAGGGCATGGACCTACTTGATCGCAATACGTAACACATCTGGTGCTGGCTCAAGCTTTGATCTTTTGCCGACTTAATAGAAACAATCCTGTACAAATGTGTGTACGTCACTCTTTTTCTATCTTCTTTTCTTTTCTGATTTATTTAGCTGAGTTAAGGAAGATCCAATTTACTATCAACACTTTGTACTTAATTTGAAATATTGAACTCAAGTATACACTCGATTATGATATTTGTACGTGAGATTGTTTAATTTTTTTCTTGCTTTTATTAAAAACTCTCAGAACTAACAGACTTGCTAACAGTGTTGTTCGAGTTTTGTTTAATTAAGTTTTAAAAAAGATTAACGCGACAATATAAGCAACGATAAGATATAAGTTTTATTAGTAAAATTTCTGTTCGCATTTTATATATTTTTTTTAATATACGATAATACTTTGTTTTATTTTTATAATTACTGTAAATATTAATAAGTGTATTTTTTTAAATCATAGTTATGATTATGTTGTATACGTAGAAGAAAATTGAAGATTGAAAGTAATAAATTTTCATGAGTTAGATATATATATACATAGACGCGTGGCTGTGGTATCGTTAATGATTCAGATGAAATCAGACTTCGGCGAAAGGTCAAGAAGGCAAGGTTTTAAAACGATCGTGCGGTTCCTATGAATCTCATTTCGTGATATGATTTTTTTTATTTGTTTGTTCTTGTCGATTGTCGTACGCCTACGTCTCTGAGAGAGAGAGAGAAAATTCTTTAGCAATCAAATTTATTATTTGTAATTTCCATAGAAATAATTTATTTATATATGATACTAGGTATACCTACTTTATATTTATATTACGAAGAAAGGAATAATTTTGAGTGGTTTCAAATACGAAATGATATTTCCTAGAAATTTAAAAGATCGTTTGAAATTCTTCTCCATCGTGAATTTCACGATATTATTATATTTCTCGGGTTATCGAGTTATTCCTGACAAAAGACATAAGTTTAAACGGTAAGACACAATAGGAAATATATACTAGAAAGTATTTTTCCCTTTCGATAAGAATAGAAACGACAGAGACGTGTGTTCGAGTTTCACGATCAGTCGGTCAAGGGTCAAGAAATTTTCTTCAACCACTCGAGACGTCAGAAACAACAAACTTATACTCGTTTGATACTTTTCTTTATTTCTCTCTTTCGAATTGACGTGGTCGTGAAACTTTGCAATAAGTCTGTAAAAAAATTATTTTTTTTCTTCAAATCATTTTCATTCTAACGTGTGGCAAAACACGTTCGATCTAGAAAATATCGAGAGTAGTTTTCAAATGAAATATCGTTTATTAGATTCAAAGAGAAATAAAGATTGAAACATAAAGTGAAAGCTAGAAGTAAGATAAGAATAGTAATAAAATATAGAAAATTATCTATATGTGTGTATGTGTATGTAAAGCAGGATGGAAGACCACACGCGTTTTCAACACACACGGAGGTCTTTTAAATTATTCATTTTTAAAGAACAAACAAGTAAACGATTTCCTTCCTCGATGCTATTGACTTTTCTTCGTTTAAAAAAAAAAAAAAATCAAAAATGTCTCGAGGATAATAAAATCGTTCGGGCGAAACGCATAATCTCGTTTTGGTCATTCAATTTATCGTAGTGGTTCGTTCCTGAAATTCTAACTTCGTGGGTCAGGAGAAGAAGAATCGGGAAACGATGATAAGGGAAAGTTAACAACATGCAAATCACGACGACTTGAAATGGAGGACTACTTCTTTTTTTATTTATTTTTTGTTGCTCTCGATCACGAGGACACGATTTGTCTCATCTTTATTCTATAACTTAGGTTAGCTAGAAAGATTCCGTGATTTCGATAGCTCAAAGGGGTATACACGAACGAGAAAGATCATCCGAGAAAGTCCTCTTTAGAATTTTCTTGCAAAATACTAAAAGAAAAATCATATGTCACGAATAAGTCTAAAAAAAAAAAAAAAATAAACATGAGTCTATTCGTTTAACTATCATCGCAAAATCGTATTAGTTAATACATTCAGTGTAGCGTGACGCGTGTGTGTCTTACGTTGTTTTACGAGGTGGAAAGACCTGATTTTCTTAGATAAATACACACACGCAAATCTTACGTGTAATTTCTTATATTATCATCTAGCGACACATTAAAAACAACATTCCGTTTTAATTACAGGAACTACCAAAGGGGTACACACACACATATACACACACGTATTAGTAGTATATTATCGCATTATAACGAGAAAGTTTCTAAAACCAGGGACTCTCGAAGTAGACAACAAAATACACATACGTGAATAACCCTTTTTCTTCATTTAACTAGAAGAAGATTATAGTTGAATTAAATCAGCCTTCGTTTCAAGGCAAAGAAAGCAAAAAAAAAATAATAATAATAATAAGATGAAGAAAGCCTAAGAGGCGAGACCGCAAAGTGGCCAATAAAACTTACATTAGCATGATGCGAGTTTGCTTTTCGTTCAACACAACCTACGACAGGTGGTAAGCGATGATAAAATATCAAGCTGTTGGTTAAGGTTCGACGAAAAGAAGAAACCTTGTCCTCTTATTGCAAAAAGGTTATAGTGCAATAGGTTCAGGGATTCCTTTCCTTGAACTCCAAAGAAATAATCTTCCGAGGTGTAAAAGGGGTCCGGAGTTACGATCCTAGCTGTGAGTAAAATATTATAAGATCCTGTTGTGTTCGAAGGTTGAACTTCGAAGACTGGCTGACTGACTGGCTGGTTTCTTTGGAGAAACATTATCGAGCATGTTCGACAACACCTCCTGTTATTAAACATTGGACTCGGTTAGTGGGACCACCCAAAAGAAAATGGCAAGGTGGTCCACTTCGTTGTTACCACGCTAAAGGGGGCGGTTTTTTTTCGAATAGCCTACAAGAGAATTTACATTATCTCTCAAAACTGCTCTCACGATAATTTCGATAGATGGTGAGCGGTGAACGAACCGTAAAAGGATTTTTATTTATTTTTTAATCCCATGTACACTCACGTACATTTCGGCAGATACGAGGGGGTGTTGTTGTTTAACCGTTAGGTGTAACCGATCGGATTAATAATATTCTTCGTATGGGAAAAACAATGAAGAGAAGAAAGATACCCCAAGGCTGATCGATCATATTCAACAAAAAAAATAATACGTTAAAGACCACCCACGATGTTTCAAAGATCGATCAGTTTTATTTTTCTTTGACGCTGCAAAGTTCTCTCGTTTGTTGGCAATTGGCGCGTTTGCAATTTAAATTACATTTCTTATTTTTGAATCATCTATTTTAACACGGTTAAACGTGAAAGTAACTTCAAACAAAAGATATATTTGCAGTATGCGTTGTTTCTAATTTAAATCACAGTTGTGTGACACGTGTGTAACGTCAAATGCTGACAGTTTTATAATTTACTCTAAAATAGTTAGAATGTTGTTTTGTTTTTCTTTTTTTTTTTGTAAAAGTTGATTACTAAATTCCTAGGAAACTTTTTATTCGATTAGTTGGAAAATGTAGACGAAACGTGACGACTTATTCGAAAGTATCCGCCCTTCGATGAAGCTTGGCTAAGTGTAACGCCAAATTCTTGGCATCCTTCTTAGAGATAGAAAGACAGAGAGAAAATAGAGAAATAGATAATGAGAATGAGTGAGATAGAGAATGGCACGTCTTGCTCGAGCAAGGAGAAACAGATGGACGGGTTGAAAAAGAATGCGAAACTTGGCGGAGGTGTATTCGTAGAGGTCGTCGTTTGTGATCTCCATACGAAATGCCAAGCACGTTGTAGTTCCGAGAAGAAGAAGAACGGGGGAAAAAGAGAGAAGGAAGGGAAGAGGTGGTGATGGAGGTTGAGGAGGAGGTGGAGGAGGGTTACTTTGCTGCCAGGCTGTCTACTACTATCACCAAGACTCGTCGCCATTAAAGATGGAAGGCCATAAAGTTGGCCACGATCGTTCGTTCATCGGGTAATATGCTTGATGCTATGATTCCGAGTAACGTTACACCCCGAGAAACCTTTTTATACTTATTCGTAATAAACTAGTCATACTAACATCTAATATTTAAAAAAAAATATATTAACTAAAAGAAAGCAAAAGGAAGTAAAAGGATCATCGACAAATTCGAAAGTTGAGTTCACAAATTCCATGGATAAAAGAAAAGATTTATGGATCATTTAATTGTACTACGAAACATGAACGGCAAATTTTTGTCATTTTCAAGCTAAAACATACCGCTTTAAACACACACACACACACATGGTATTCTCGTTTGAATCGTTTCTATCGACACATTTGTCATGAATTCCATCCACGATGCAAGTTCTTATCGGCTTTAGAAAGATAGGGATATTTATTAACGTTCTAATTCCAAATGACGGCGCACACTATACCGACGTTAGACTTGCTTCGATGGTTAACGAATATGCGAATCTATCGTGCGGAAATATCAGCTTGTGGTTGTAGATTTAATTTGAATATGTTTTATTGTATTTTTTGTTTTGTTTTATTTTTTTTTTTTCATTTGGAAGATAATAACTGTTTTTCTTGATTTAAAAAACACAAAGAAATAACAAATTCTATTTATGAAATTTTAGCCTGAAAATTTTGTATACCTTCCAGTTCAAATTTTCTTTCATATTGATGTAAATTTGTTTATTCTTTTTTATTTTTCTTTTTCTTTTTCTTTTTCTTTTAATGTTTGACTTAAATCAATCGATAAAAGATATCTTAAAAGAAAATATATAAGAGTGAAAAAAAAAATGATAGGTACTCCCTTCATCTTTGGAACAGCTCTCACGGATATTATGAGATTATTTTTATCGAGGTCATCTCTGAAAATAAAGTACCCTTTATCGTGAAAATTGGCCACTCTCCAAGAACGAATCTCGAGATGAAAGCGAGTAAGGTACCGAAATGCACTTTTCATTTTTTTATTCTTTTTTTTATTTTTCAAAAGTATGAACTCTTCCGACGTCTGACATATATCGAAAGAGAAGCCCAATTTAAAAAAAAAAAAAAATTACAAGTTTTTCTTTTCTTTTTTATTAAGACACTCCGAGAATCGTGAAACATCATTATTTAATTATGTAAATATATTCAAATTGTTTTTCGATATTACCCAACAAATTTTCATATTAGTCGTTTGAGAATTTCCAAATGGATTTTGAATTTGCTTATAAATGTTCGATTTTGTTTTTCTAATAGGCGTGAAATTAAGAAATGATCAACTTGTAAAAGAATGCAGAGACCATAAAAAGAGATACATTAATAAAACATTCACATACGATTACACGTACGATTCGTCGTCGAATTCTATTCGGACTGGTCATCGAGACGCCATTATGACGACAACTACGACGAGGTTTTATTAAGTGCGTGGGTGGTTTTTAGTCTTTGCTACTTTCGTTACCAAGTATTATTACTTCGTTTTAAAATTATTTTTTCTTGTGTAACCATTTTTATTTCTTTTTTTTTTTTTTACCAATAGAATCCCTACCGTAACTTTAAAAAATTGATCTTTTTAGAAAATGTTGTTAATATTGTTATTATTTTTTATGTGACATATTTTACTTTTTAAAAAAAATAATTTTATAAGTATGTACTTCAAAATGTGTAAACTTCGATATCGATTACTAATGATAGATAAATTCAGGTCGTGTTTGAAATCATATTCGTTCAATGAAAAAGAATTTTTCTCGACAAACGTTCAAATCAAATTTATCTAATCGAATAAATTTTCTATTGATTTTATTTTTTTTTATACTTCGATATCTATACATTTTTTTTATATATACGTAAGTAGAGATTAAAATTTTTCAATCCTAATATAGAAATAATTATTTTTCGGTAGAACTTCCATCATTTACTTCTCAAAATAAACTGAAAATTTATATAAAAAAAATTAAGTTCAAAAATTTTCAATCCACTGTCGCAAATGATGTCTCCAATTTTAAATTAAATAAACATTTATCTTAGTTAAAAAAAATTTATATTTTACATTGTCGGATATATAATATTATTGAATTGTTTTTAGTAAAACTGTAATACTAAAAATTCGTGTTTTAAAATGGTCAAGGAAAAATATTATAAATAATTAAAAAATATATATATATATATATTAAAATAAAAATGAATAATTTACAAATTTTATTTTAAACCGATATAGATAAATATTTGATTATATATTTTTCTTTTCTAGATAGTTCTATTACAAACAGGTTTGAATTTTAATCTAACATAAATAAATTACAAACTGGCAAACGAGTCTTCTTCTCTCTTTCACGAGAACTTTCTTAACAAAAAATAAAAAAAGAAAAAAGAAGAATCAGATGATGATATAAAAGAAGAAAAAAAAACTATCTTTGAATAGAAGTAGATAAGAAAATAGATACATATCGTTTGAACGTCATTGCAACATCGATCTAATCGCAATGTAATGTGCATCGAGATCGATGAATCGACGTCTCGAATCGTGCCTGTCAACGTAACCTTCTCTATCTTTCATGTGTGTGGTCTCTTAAAGCAGACCGCAAGAATAACTTAAGTACGTTCTACGTGACCAATGAAATGCAGCCACTTTCGATGATTCATTCGATGATTCTTCTCGTCGACTCTGACGCCCAGCTGTCTCCGACTAGATCGATTAATCGATTCACGACAAACAGAGTCGTCGTCGTTAGTTCATTCTCAAACTCGAAATAAACTCGATCGATCTCTGTGATTTCGATTAATCCATTCTTCATTTTCTTAATTTCAACAGGAAAGGAAAAGGTTTGTTCGCTTCTTTTTACTACGACGAAAGTTCAATTTAATTATTGTTTTTATTTGTTAATTATTTATTAATATCAATTTAATAGTTTAATTTATCTTAAAACACCATTTGCGTACTGTGAATTGCAAAGTTCTAATTGATTATTTATTTTTCAAATTTTGCAAGATTGAACGATATAATTACGTTTATTTTGCAAAATAAATTCTTCGTTTTGTTAATTTCAATATAAAAAGAAAAGGTTGTTTTATTTTTTCACTACGATAACAATTCAATTTAATTTAATATATAATTTTGAAACATCATTTGCTAACATTTTTAAATATTTTATTTTTAAATTTTACAAGGTTGAACGATATATTTACGCTTATTTTGCAAAGTAAATAAAAAAAAACCTAATCACACTGTTTTACTTAATTAGTCAATTTGTATTGATAATGTAAATAGGTTAAACACCGAACGTTACCTTCATTGATAAGATGTTATTGCTTTATTTCTTATTGCTAGGACGAGTACATACAATTAGGATGATAAAACTAGATAAAGAAAAATAGAAGAAAAAAAAATGTATCCTAACGTTAAAACAATAAATTAAATGATATCGTATTATCTCGGAAAGTGTCGCAGGTAAAACGTTAGAGAATGCGGAAGAATTGGCAGATAGCTTTCTAAAGTTACGTTCCTCGAGGGATATTCGGATCTCGTGTGAAAGGTCGTAGGTCACATGTCGAGAAGGCACTTCGTATGCAACGATGTCGCCCTCGGCCTGCATTCCGAAATGAAACGAATCTAAGATAGGATGGGGTCGTTTGGTAAAGTGTCAACAACCCTTCTCGAAATAAAAAATAATATCAATTAGATTAGATGTTGAAAATTTCTTATCATTATTATTATCATCATCATTAGTAGTAGTAGTAATTGTAACAACGAGTAGCATTCTCAATGAAAGATTAATGTGGTACGTGTTACGTTTTTCAATCATGCACTTCTAGCGAACGTTGATCCAGTTGAGAAAATAAAAAATAAAAAAGAAAAATGAATTTGAAAGGACATATATATAGTTACAAGTTGTAATGTACGTTAGAATGCATTGAGTGAGTGAAAGGGTTTTTAAGATACGTATGTATCCTGTCGCGTGAACTTTGACATCGAGCGTCCGTTCTCCGCCCCACCTTTTTACACGACCAATGAGATCATCCAAAAGTTCTTTTTCTATTACGTACCGGTGGCTCTGACCGTTAATAAGGATAAGGTGTAATGCCTAACGATGACATCATGTTGTATTCACGCCTTACCGTACGAGTTTCGATTCGTGCCAGGCTTCGACACTCCTTTAGAAAGTCTTCTACGTAAACAAAACGTTGAGAAAAATTGATTTATCCTCAACAACGTTGACAACGACAACGACAACTACGAAGACGATAAATTCGTCATCGTAATGGTGGTTTTTTTTCATTGAAGAATAAAAAACTAACCATCATATTTGTTCTTCATCGATGTTACGTTGATTTTAAATTTGTATGAAAAATTTTGATAGAAAAGAAAGTACACGATGAATTAGTTAATTAGTTTGGAAATTTTTTAATTTAACTAATAATGTAAAGTATACTATCCTATCATTTAACAACGTTTATTATAAAAAACTAACCATCATCTTTGTTCTTCATCGATGTTACGTTGATTCCAAATTTGTATGCAAAATTTCGATGGAAAACAAAATGTACAATTAATTAGTTAGGTTTTCTAATTTAACTAATAATGTAAAGTATAATATCCTATCATTTAATAACATTTATTATTTGTTTTCCTTTTTAATATCAAAACCCCATAAATCTATCGTTTGAATATTTTCAGTTCATTAATTGGTTGTCAGAAAACATTTGTCATCGTACGGTGTAAGAGTCAATCGATAAAGCACTCGGTTTCACGGATTAACATCGTTGAGAATGATTGATATCGATTGACATTTGACAAAAAATTTTGTAAGCTGGAACTAATGGAACATCTGGTACGTTTGAGAATCATAGATCACGTTGACTCGTCCTAGGAATAAGTGTGACTCTTATAAGTTAAACTTTAAAAGAAAGAAAAGAAAAATTATTCTTTCTACTCGATATTTCATAGTTAAATCAATCGTCCTTGGATAGATTTTTATCTATCGAATTACTTTTGTAATAAATCGTATTGTTAATTAACAATCTTTTAATATTTCATTAAGGTAATTCACATACCAGAATTAGATAATTGATTATCGTTATACAAATTATCTTACTCGAGGAGAGAAAATATTTAAGTTCGGTGTGTAATACCCTTAAAAGTTTTTTCTTGATTTTTTTCATAAGCTTTAACCCTTTATCTCGGGATGACAATTGAACTAATAGAGCAACGAACTGATCTATGTGCATTACATATCTAGAACGTCGAGAGATTGTTAGATGAAAAGCCACTGAACCGTATCTTAACGATCTCAATGACATATCGATGTGTCTTTTACGTATTGGTTAACATCAAATTCCTTTAACATTAAAGAACACATACCTATATATTTTAATCTAATGTAAAATCGAAGAACGCGAATCGATTAAAAAAAAAAAAAAAAATTCCTACATTCGCGAGAGATGACTATTTCATTTTCTCTGTTAAATAGATTTCAAAAAAACATCTCTCGAGTATATTAATTATATCACGATTACGTATAACACGTGGTATTAATAATTTATTGACTTATAGGACACGAAACGTTGTACGTTTAAGTGTATATA